CCCAGTATATTCCCTTGAAGTGTTTGTGTGCTCACATTCTTGTGGACTAGTCATTGTGGCACTACTTCTCTATGGCAGTTTCCTCTCTTATAATGAGACTCTTCTCTACTTTGCCATGGAATGGCATAAATAAATAACAAAGTTAGAGTCAGAGCTGTGCCTCTGATGTAGGCTCTGGGTGCCTGCTAACCAAGTTTGCATGTGGGTCCATAAGAAGGATTTAGCCCATAGCCTTGCTTGCTTCAGGTATCCTGTAAGAAGTGCTTTGTATAAAATTTCAGGTGTCCAGTAAGAAGTGCTTTGTATAAAATATCCTCTGTAGTTCAGGTTTCATCATCTCCACCAAGAATTTGAAGTAAAAGCGTATGTTTCAGCTTCACATGTTTAGGTTCTCTGTCTTCCCCTTTTGTTTCTTTATTTTTTTCTTAAATCTCAGGGCAAACTTTTAACTTAATTCTGGGGGGGGGCAGTTCTACCTAGGTGAAAACTGAGTGAGGATGGTGGGCCTTGGCTTATTGTCCTGGGGGAAGCAGGGATAGAGGTTTATAATTGAAAATACCATGTAAAAAGCTTGTTTTGAATTTCTCAATGGAATCTAAGAGCCTCAGAGGGCGGTTCTGCATCGCCTCAGATACGGTACTTAATATTTATGCTTTCATTGCACCTTGACAAACATTTCACGTAGTTATTGCTTTGCTTGAATATGGAAATATGTTAATTATGGCCTTTATTCCGCTGCCTGCTCTTTTCCTCAGCCTTTTCTATTCAACCCTCTAGGTGGCCCAGCACAATGTGGCTTCTTTTCTTTCAATGAGCTCTTTCCACACTAATAGGGTCCAGGGTGATGTGGAGAACCATGTGCACAAAATTGGTGCACCACCCCCCATTCCTTTGTGGGCATGTCAGGTTAAATTCATATCAGCAGGAGGGTCACTGCCATGATTTTCAATAGCGCGAGATGAGGTGATGACTTCAGACAATGGCGCCACACTCTCCAGTTGGAGACACTTGCCTCACCAGTTGCAGTAGTTAATTAATATGCTAAAAATAGAAGCCAGTGATACAAATCGCTGCCTGTTGTACAACAAAGACTGGGCATGTGTAGCTTTGATAGCCAAGTTTATGGTGCTTGTTATGGAGGGAAGTTAGTTTAGAGCTAGAGGCAATGTAAGACTTTCTGGATGCTGAGCTTTAGTCACTCTGGGCCTCTGGCCATTCGCTCGCTGTCTCATTTGCATTATGAATGACATTAAGGGAACTAACAAGGTTATTGGGCATAGAAATGTTCGCATGTGACCCCACGTGGAAGCAGACCTACAGCAGTGCTAGTTGGCAGGGACACTGTGCCTCTTTATTCAGCTTCCTAGGAAGACAGTTTCTGGGAGTAGATATAAAATCAACCACGAGAAAACGGGTGTTGGGATAACGTGAAGGTCATGATGCAAGCCCCTAGGAGGCAAGGAGGTTCAGAGGGCAGGCAGGAGCTATGTGCTTCCCTCAGCCTGCTGTGTGCTGAGCATTGAGTGCAGGACATGGGAGCTCCCTGCTTGGGTCTCCCCAACAGTTGCTTGAGACTGGGTGAAGCTGTTCTGTGGGGTCTCACTGACCATGCATGAGGGTGCAGGTCCATCCAGGCCTCTGAGTGGGTCCATTTCAGCCTTGTGCTGGCTCAGATGATGGGTGGGACTGGGTGGGTTTTGCTTCTCACCCACCTTCACCATAGCTTCGATGGGACTGTTCAAGCACTGGCAGAGTTTGAGAGGTTTCACATCATTTTTTTGCTACATCTTTCCTGAGACTTGAGACAATGAGGGGTAATCTATGGAAAGTCCATTGCTGCTTGTAGTTCCCATGCATAACTAAGAGAGGGTTTGGTAAGTCCAAAGATTAAACCCAGAAGTTGCTTCCCAACTTAGAGCCATATTGGCCAAATGAAGCCTCAGTCACACCAATGAAAGCACATGGGATTCACAATCCCAGGGAATTGCAGTGTGTACCTGAGGAGAAACAGACCCATAGAAGGTGTAGTCTGCTTTAATTTATCCTTTTTCTAAAAAAATTAGTGGCATTGCTGAGGAATCACTCTGTGAAGATGAGAGCAGATTTTGGTGATGTTAGGTGTCTTCCATATGGGTTTGAACATTCTTAAATTTTAGAGGTGTTTGTTACTTCTCTGTGGACCAGGAGGAGACTCTGGACAGTCACACAAGCACAGGAACTTCTCATTATCAGAGTCCTTTAACCATTCTTGCTCTTCTTGTTGGACTGCATAGACTGGTGGTCCAGCAACCACATTTCTTTCATGGAGCCACTAGCTGCCAGATCAACCCACAGGAGCAGCTACTTCAACAGTCACCCAGAGCCAAGTTCTGGACCCCCTGTCAGTAGCAGTGAATAAGATGAGAGGCAAAATGTCATAAAACGAGGGTTGTTTTCAAGGGCTTAAAGTCCTCCCTGTATTTATGTCCTGCTTTCACGATCTGATCTGATGATAGGTGCAAGCACAGGCTGAGGCACTGTGGATAGGGACTGGACTCCACCACTTTGCTGGGCAGCCTGTCCCAATACCTGATCACCCTTTCAGTGGAGAAATTTTTCCTAATACCCAATCTAAGCCTCCCGTGGTGCAACTTGAGGCCATTTCCTCCAGTTCTGTCACTTGTTAACTGGGAGAATAGGCCAACCCACACCTGGCTACAACCTCCTTTCAGGCAGTTATAGGGAGTGACAAGGTCTCCCCAGAGCCTCCTTTTCTTCAGGCTAAACACCCCCAGCTCTCAGCTTGATCTCCAGACCCTTCAGCTCCATTGCCCTTCTCTGGACATGCTCCAGCACCTCAATGTCCTTCTTGTCATGAGGGACCCAGAGCTGGACGCTGGACTCAAGGTGCCTCACCAGTGTGCAGTAGAGAGGGACAATCACTGCCCTGGTCCTGCTGATCACACTATTGCTGACCCAAGTCAGGATGCCATTGGCTTTCTTGGCCACCTGGGCACACTGCTGGCTCATGGTCAGATGCTGTCGACCAGCACTCCCAGGTCCTTTCCCACTGGGCAGCTTTCCAGCCACTCTGCCCCAACCCTGTGGCACTGCAGGTGATAGTTGTGACCCAGGGCAGGAACCAGCACTTGGCCTTGTTGAACCTAATACTATTGGCCTGGGCCCATCGATCCAGCCTGTCCAGATCCCTCTGCAGATTCTTCCCGCCCTCCAGCAGGCCAAGACTCCCACCCACCTTGTTGTCTCCCTCAAACTGACCGAGAGTGAACTCCATCCTCTCATCCAGGTCCTTGATAAAGATACTAAAGCGAACTGGCCCCAACCCTGAGCCCTGGGGAGCATCACTAGTGGCTGGCCAAAAGTGCAATCATGGAAGTGCAATTTCTCTCACTTTAATATGTGCTGAAATCAGCATCCTTGGGGCTGTGTCCTGCGCTTGATAAGCAGGAGTCAAGACTCTTCTGTTAACTCACTCATCAGTGGAGGCAATAATTTTCAATAATCAGTTTTCTCATGTACAGTGGGTTCTCACTCTTCCAGTAGTGCATAATTATTATTCTTGTAATAATAGCAGTCCATATGCCTTGCTTCAGTCGGTGGGAATTTGCTCCTTCAGAAGCATTTGTCAGAGTGTGATTTCTGCTGAGCTCCCCTGGTAGGAGGCAGTGTGCAGTGCTGGGCTTGCAGGTGGTCACCTCCTGGTGACTTTGTGAGACAGATAATAAATCCATGGCAGAGATTCAGTTCCTCTTTTTCTCTTCCCACTTCTAACACCCACCTCTAGTCCATCTGGATGAATGTTGCGGCCCAGGTCTCATTCTTACTGGACTACTTCATTACCAGGGACATATTCCAGCCTGGAGGAGAACATGCTGTCTCCACAGCTATTGAAGGATCTGCCAGCTCAGAGTCTGGGAGGCCGAGAACAACTCTCCATATGTCTGAAACCTAAGTGGTTACACAGGCATCAACAGAGCTACAGATGAACAGAGAGGATTTGGAATCTGCAGTTGGGCAGTTTTTTGTAACAATCTGTTTCTATAGACTGAATTTACTGCTGATGGCTTATTTCCTGTTAAGTATTACTTTGGTTTATTCTGCCTTCTCCTCCAGTCCCCCAACTGAAAACTGATAGAGAAGGGTTTGATAATGAGTTAGTGTTGAACCAGTGAACTTGCAAACCAAGTTTCATTGTAGGAAGATACCAGTAGTGCAGAATATATCCTAAAAACAGCATTTAGTAAAACGTGCAGATAACCCAGTGCCTATGGCAGTATCACAAACCATTAAATTGCCTTGTGAAGGTCACAGGAACATTCAGTTTTATTTTAATTTCTCTCCTGATCTCACAGATGTACGAGAGGAAGTTCTGAAATGTATTTTCAACTTGTTTATTAAGAAATAGTAGTAATGACAAATGTGATCTTTGTTTCTTCTTTGATTACGTAGCTATGGGCTGTAAGTGTTCTCACTTCCTAATTGCTAAGGTAGTAAAGATGAACCGTTAATTAAAATCTCTTTCCCGGACAGGTCTTTAAATGCTCGAATTAATTAAGTCTTTAAAAATTGACGTGACTAAAAATCTCATTTTGGTCCTTTGTGATACCTTATTCCAGTTAGTTTTCCGGTTAAACCTCTAATGTGACCAAGACCCAAATTTCTGACACAAATTACAGAAAGCCTCCTTCTTCTCTTTCCTTTTCTTTAAAACTAAGGAAAGACTATTAAAAATTGTCCAGGTTTACTTTATGCATCAGTGAGAATAAAAGACCAAACCGCATTTCCATTTTAATTTGCAGGTCTGTTCCCCCTCCTTTGACTGCTCGTGATGAGCAGTGTGACTAATGAGCTCCACTGGACCAAAAAGAGTGGCACTTTTCCCTTTCTTCTACTTCCCCGGGTTTTATTCTTGGGTGTGGTTTTTTTTATGTTGCTTCCCTCTGATGTTTTGCAGCTTTTCTGGTCTGGGTTTGGACTAATTCCCAGATCTGTTCTTGCAGATTTTAACTTTGCCATGTACCCACCATCAATGATAGCAACTGGAAGTGTGGGAGCAGCCATCTGTGGCCTTCAGCTCGATGATGGGGACAGCCTCACGGACCTCCTGGCCAAGATCACAAACACAGATGTGGTGAGTGTCCTGCATTCCTCTTCTCCTTTCACTTCTGAGGGCATAGTGGAGAACCAGGCCATGAAACCTGTCCTGATTCTGAAAGTCCAGTATAGCAAGGGATGGGGCTGCTTCTGGAGTGAGTGGGTTGCAGACGTGGACCCAACACTTTGGTTGCAGTGCTTTGAATCTCCAAAGCTCTTCGGTCTCCCAGGATCAATTCTCATTCACCCTGAATTAGTTCAGCAGTTTGGTGAACTGTTCTGTCTGCCTTGGCTGATGGTCAGGTCTGCTAAGCCCCCTTGGGTACCACCCTGGGCAATGGGGCAAGCACACAGACAGCATTTCCTGGGCATAAAGTAAACCAGGAGGTGTTGTGGTGTCGTTGGTCCTGTGTTTGCAGCCTTGAAACTGCTCTTCTGGCCCTCATTGAGGTGTCAGCTCAAAATCCTTGGCTTGAAGGAAGTGAATAATGAACTAATCTCCAGGCACTGGCACGGCATGAGACAGGTACAGCCCAGGCTGTCTGGGGTTTTGTGTATAACTTAACTCAGCTTGCCCCATGAAGGGCATTTCTTGGCTTGTCAGAAGCTCTGATCATCAGTAGGAGAGACGAATCTAATGTGATTTCAGTGGTGTTCATACTTACTCCAAAGTGAGTTTTCAGGACTGGGGTCAGCAGAAAAACCCAAACGTGACAGCTCTGTGTGGCAGTGTCAGACAAAAGCTGGGAGGACTGAAAGAGTGCTTGGAGTGCCTCCCCTGAAGGGTGCTACCTCTCACACTGTGCCCCTGTGTTGGTGGGACCTTTACACTCCTGCAAATGCAAACCACTTGGTCTGTGGATGAACACAGCTCATCTCCTGCAAAGCTGACAAC